GCTGTGCCAAAGAGAATTTTTGAGTCAGGGCTTTGTTTAACAGGGACATAGCTTTTGAAGTTGAAATGAAATTGCAGAAAGGTGGGGTTCTTCCCACTCTATTTGACAGCCTTTAAAGATTTCTATTAACTGTTGCCTGGATTATTTTCCAATCAAAGAATAATCTGAACTTGTGGAATAGAGATGTTACATTCTGATGGGGGCAAGGAGGGGGGGAATTAAATGGCCAAGCCTGAGCTTACAGAAATCCAAACAGATGTAATATGAGTTACTGCCTCTCACTATACCTTTTCTATAGAGAAGAGCCTCCTGCTCCCATTTAGTCCTCAAACTCAAAAATTGATGTCCGCACTGTATCAGACCATAGAGACCACAGAAACTTGGGTATTGAGTCACCAGTCACACAGCTGGCTGGCTGCCACCATGCGTCTGATATCACTGGAGAGCCTTACTGATATCTGAAAACTGTCAGGAATTATTTCTCTGCTCTTGGAAAACCAAATGTTGCCATTCCAGTATTTTGCTCAAATAACTTTTCATTTAAAACTCCATGCTGAGTGAAGAGCCTCAATATATTCTTTGGTAAAGGAAAACTTCAGAATACTAACTCACTTTCCCAGATTCCTTCCCTATCCATCCTGAAGTGGAATGAATCATCCAGTGTAATATTTCACTCACAATAACAGTTTTCAGGAAAAAATGAGGAATATTATATAAGTTTGTCATTTAATAATGCTGCCTTACATGTAATAGGAAACCCTGATAGCTGTTCTTGCTGATACGGTGTCTCTATGACTTTAAGCAGCCTGCAGTGTTTTCACTTTTAAGATACCATGCATGGCAAGATGAACAAGAGAAGGGTCCTTTTCTGAGACCATTCACCTTCTCTTTGGGCTCCCTTGTGCATTCAGATTTCATAAGGTTGCACAGGGATGGCTGAGAGCTCAGTTTCAGAGATAGCGGTTTTGCTTTTTCTTCAGCATCCCGGATCCCACTCCTTTCTTCTCTGCCTGGCTTGCTTCCTGCTGTGGATGTGTTGATAACCTCTCTGAAGATCAGCAGTTAGAATTGAAGTCTTATTTAGGGAAGAATAACTTGAATAATTGAAGCAATTCCATAATCTTCTCTCTCTCTCCTTCTTTTCATCTCCTAAAATACTTTCTATATTATTTTGGCCTTAGAGAATTTCTAAGAAGCAGGATGCCTTTAATGTAAATGAGTCTTGTCAAATGTAAACATTGTAAAACTCTCTATGGGAGCACAACCCCAAGAAGCTGGAGTTGTAGGAAGCTGAGGGTTGTAGGAAGCTGAGGGAAGTAGTTCCAAGTGCTGTTGATTCTCAAGAGCTGTGTCTGAAAAGACTTTACGTGTTTTAGACTAGATTAGAAAGAAGTTCTTAAAAATGTAAATGTCTCTGTGTGTTGGGTCATGCAAGATGATATCCCAAAGGGTCTCTCAACATCTATTAAAGGGTCATTTCCATGCTAGCAATAAAAGCAAAAAATATTTTATAAAATAAAAATTATCTATATTTTTGTAAAGTAACAATATATATACTTTTATCATCAGGTGAAACATCTTAACTTTCTTTGTTACTACATTAAGGGGGGGGGGTCTGTGTATTCTTGATAAGAAAATAAAAAAAAGTATTTCTTCGATACTTTAAAATTTTGTTCTCTCCTTTATTGTCATCCCATAGCTCTTTACAGAAGAAAATAAAATGGCATTTCTGTCCATCAAAAATAGATCTATTAGCATGAACTAAAGTAGAAAACATATTTTAAAATTAAGACATCATCTATAACATTATAAAGTGATACTTTAACTTTTTTTCTCCTAGAGCCTTATAATTAGAGCAGGAAAAATGGTAATCAGTTTAAAAATAAAAAGGCATGCCATGTAAATTATGATGTGCCACAAAGCAACCAGACTGAACGAGGCCTGACAATAATTGCAAAAAAAAGAGCAATAACCCATCCTTGCTATAGGATGGAAGAGTTCAGGGCAATACTCAGAGGTGATTTTGTGGCCAGTAACTTGGGCATCTGTGGTGTCAAGATAACTGAAGGAGAGGTATCATTAGCGATTGATAAATATTTAAAGAATAACTTTCCCAAATGTGCCTGATGGGAAAAATATGAGGCATTAAGCCTTTCATCTAAGTGTATTTATTTTTTTTCTTTTATTGCTTTATTGTATGAATATGAGCACTGAGCATGTGCTCAGTTCTATACTAAGCTGCAGTAAATGATAGAAAGCACAGCCTTCCCCTAGTGTGTATGGGGGGGAAGGGGGCGGGGCTGCCAGGGAAGACTTCAGGAGAAGAGTGGTAGCAGTGCCCCATTTAGAATTTACTATTTCTCACCCATCTTGTGTAACATCTGCTACTGTTAATGTCAGGTAGGTGTCCATGTTGGCCACAGATGTGTTTCAGATTTTATATTCATTTTATGTTTCCCCATGTCATCTTGTGATCCTGTAATAACTACGAGCTTTCATTTCTTTTCTACCTCCTTCCTTCTGACTGTCCTCAAAATACACACTACTTGATTGAATGAACATAGTTTTATTTTAATAGATACATGTCCCATTGGATTTGAAAAAGTAATATATCTAGTAATGTAAAAGTGTATCTTGAAGAAATCATAAAATACTTTAATTATTGTTGTACTCTTAAATAATTTAGTGCTAACTTTTAGAACTGTTTGTATTGCCAGGAATTCTCATTTACTACTGGATGCCTGTTGATTCTTGAAAGTCATTTATTTTTGTATGTGCTCATTAAGGACAGCTTGTAAAATTTGGGTTTGGATTATAACACTTGCATTTCACAATAATATGATTAAGACCTTCTGCTTTCCTTATAGATTTAATTGGATTTAGAAATTGTAAATTCTGGGCCTCCCCGGTGGTGCAGCGGTTGAGCGCTGGGTTGCAAAGCTGCCCGCAGCCTCTGCAGCGCCTGTTCAATCACCGGCCCCCGGGCGTGGGTCCAACATGGCGCGCAGACCTCTCCTGCTGCCCACTGCTCCCCTCAGCAGTGTACTTTGGTCCTTCTGCCTGTTCTGCTCCCTGTTCAGGCTCTGGTGAATTCTCTCACCCTCCCACGCTTCTTAGTGTACCCAGTGCTTGTATAAATAAGTCTTTAAAAAAAAAAAAAAAGAAATTGTAAATTCTGTCAAATTTGGAGAGAAATCTACTCTCAAGGTCACATAATTACTTACCTTAGATAAGATCAGTAGCGAAATGTCTATATGAGAACTGATACTGCATTCCTCATGTTGCAGGAGCTGCAACCCGAGACCCTTTCTAATTCTGTAGTGTCTGTCCTAGTCAGGCTCCCACACCTAGTTTTTCACAGCCTGTCCCGCTCAATGAACTAGAAGTGTTTTCCTTCAAGCTGATTGTCAAGACCATGAGTCCGACCTTGCTGGCATCGATAACAGCTTCCTTCTGCTTTCCTCCTGTCTCATAATTCCTTCCAGTGTCCTGCTTTTCTCCCCCACCTTCTAGGTAGACACTCTCGAATGTTTGTCCTGCTTTCCATGGGTTGATTCATCTTTCACCACATACTCAGCCGCCCCTCCAGTGTTCCTCTTGTCCTGGATACCAGCTGCCCTGTGCCTAGAATGTGCTTCTCCCAGTAGCCCCATGGCTTACTCCATCACTGCCTTCAGAGTTTTGCTCAGATGTCTCCAATGGCCATCTCACAGAGACATTATGAAATAGAATTTTTTGCATTTGTTTATTTTTTAACTTTTCCTCTCTGGAATATAAACTCTGAGGTCTGAGATTTTTATCTTAACTCCTAGAACATTGACTAGAACTTGGTTCACATAGAAAGTGTTGAGTCAGCACGTGAATGAATGAAAGAACCTCGAGTGGGAGAGTCACAGTGAGGGTCAAAGTTGATCTAGAGGCAATCTGGGCTCTGCCCAGCCCGCTGAGTGGTTTTTCCTGAGCCCCGCCTCAGGCTTCTATTATCTGTTCTGAAATGGGGATTGTGTAGTAGCTGGGTTCTGAGGCCAGACTCGGGATGTACAAAGCTGCAGTTCTGGAAATGAGATGACATCATGTTAAACTTGATATTACATCACTAACAACAACTTGATGTTTTTATTCTTACTTCTGTGTAATTGCTATCTATGGTTAAATATCTCTCCAGGGCCTCACTGGTGGCGCAGCGGTTGAGCGCTGGGTTGCAAAGCTGCCCGCAGCCTCTGCAGCGCAGGTTCGATCCCCAGCCACCAGGTGAGGGTCCCACACGGCGGGTGCGCAGACCTCTCCTGCTGCCCGCTGCTCCCCTCAGCAGTGTACTTCAGTCCTTCTGCCTGCTCTGCTCCCCGCTCTGGCTCTGGTGGATTCTTCACCCTTCTGCGCCTCTGACTATACCCAGTGCTTTTATAAAGAAATAAATAAATCTTAAAAAACAAATAAATCAATAAATATTTCTCCAGGAAAATAGTTGAATGAAACAATTAGCTTCTAAATGATGTAAAAACTAATGCATTTTTATGTAATGCCATGTTTGTTATCTGTTTTTAAATTTTATTATACTTTTAATTTTTTTAAATATTTTTTTAGATTTATTTATTTATTTATTTATACAAGAACCGGGGTACAGGCCAGATGCGTGGGAGGGTGAGAGGATTCACCAGAGACAGACAGTGACAGGAGAGGTCTGTCGCACCAGGTGGGACCCTCACCGGCTGGCCGGCGGGATCAAACCCACGCTGCAGAGGCTGCAGACAGCTTCACAGTGCGGCGTTCAACCGCCTGCGCCACTGGGGGAGGCCCTATACTTTTATTTTTTTTAATTTATTGCCAACTTATAAGAGTATTTTCTGTTGCTATACATCTATATCTATAGCTTTATACATAAATATGCATGTGTGTATGCATATATACCTACATATGTGTGTATAGATATAGCTATATAAAAAAGTCTATATATTTTGGTCAATAACAAAACAACCACAATCTTTTCTCTCTACCTTTAGATATTTCATGCTGCAGAGAGTAGTTTCAAACGGAAGGATTACCTGTGATTTCTGCTTCCCAGCCATAAAATACTCATTCCTCTCTTAAGTAAGTATATTGCTTTGCTGTGGTCCATTCTAAGCAGAGGGTATTGATTCTCACTGACAAAGAGGCTGAGGTTCCAGAGAGTTTGCTGTCTGGCCAAAAAAAAGAAAAAAATTGCCAGTAATGCCAGTATTACCAATAATAACTGTAGAAATTATCTGCTAGAAGTTAAGGCTTTCTAAATGCTGAGATGTTTGTCAGTAATACCCCAGATATTTATATAGAAGTGCATGTATTTGAAGATTCAATGAAAGATAAACACCATTTATGCCAATGAGAAGTACACCATGGGTGGGTGGGGAATGAGAGGGTGTTTTTAGACAAGCAAAACCTGTGGAGAGTGTCAAACCCAGGACCCACAGAGGTTGGAGCAAGTGTTGGGGGGCAGTTAGCTCTTGGGAATAAGCCTACTTCGTGGAAGTCACTTCTGGGCACTTTGTCCCAAGTCCATGCCATTCCTGGGATTCTTTTCTGGTCTCTAAAAGTTGGTGTGAACCCAGAAACTTGGATAGCCAGATCCATATTCCTGCGAAGGAGTAAATAGTGGTCAAGGTCCAGTTCACTCTGTCCTATTACAGAGAATTTGAGAACTTAATATTCCCAAATCGGGCAGTAGTAATGTTTGAAAACTGAGAGACATCTCCTCCATTAACTCAGGTCTGTCAACAGCAACCCTCATGAGAACACACAGTTTCAGCCTAAGTGACCATATTCCGAGTGACCACATGCTTTGAGTGGATTGACTAAATTCCTTGAGCCTCCTTTTCAGCATCCTTATGCAATGTACAATGCCTCAATAGCAGGTGTGCATTTTAGCTTATTTTTATTGCACATGAAGGATATTGTTAGGTAAATATTACTGCTTTCTGAGAACCTCAGAATCTAATCTAGACTGACAAGAATCAGCCTGTGTCAGGTGAATTCCGCAAGAATCAGCCTGTGTCAGATGAATTCTGTGAATTCTGCAATAGAAAGAGATGAACTACAAAGAAAAAGCCAAAAGCACCCCTCAGTGACACCTGGAAACCCATAACTCTCATTACCTCATTGTCTTCTTGTCCCAGATACCAGACATTCTGAAATGGAAGACTTGTGCTAATGTTGACTGGGAGGGGATTCAATGTCTTCTATTTTCAGGCCTTGAAGAATTGTACCTGAGCCCAGGTGGATTTAATGAGGAATGCCTACCAACTGGGACTATATTCTCCACTCTGCATTGTTCTAGGAGTGCACCCATTCTAGTTTGCCCATCATTGAGAGGAATCCTGGGAAAATGGACTACTGTGTACATAACACAGTACTAAAAGCATAAGAGCAGGAAAAGTCCTAAGCAGGTCAGAATCCCATCATAGTTCTCAATCTCGCTGTGCTCTTGTTCACAACTGTGTGATGCTCACTAGGTTGGCTGATGACAGCAGTTTAATTTGTAGCCTTCGTGGTCAGTAAAGAATTAGAGTGGGGGGTGCGGGTTATTGAGTAGGCACAGGTGTAATGTTAGCTCCTCAGTCTGTCAACTGCAGGCAGGACTTTTCTTTCTCAACCGAGATTCCTGTATGCCATGTAAGAATATCAGCAAGCCGGTAGGGGGTGGGAAAGATTACATGACATTGTATGGAGTGCACCTGGTACAGCACAGGCATCTGAGAGATGGAGGGCCCCTCCATCTCTATCTAAAGAAGATAGTCAGCTACCTTTTCAGACATATCCATGCTGAGCTTTGCCAATGTTATTATTTAGCTAGGTCCTGCATCAGGAAGATTAAGAAGCACTCAAACAAGGGACTCATTAACGTAAGGTCATTGGGGTGCAGATGCTAAATCTTGACTCATACCGATTTCTCAAATAACTTAGGTTATTGTAAAGTTGCTTTAAGTTATTTTTATGTCAGCTGTCCTATAGAAAGTGTAGAAACAGGGCCTCCTCTGGTGGAGCAGCAGTTGAGCGCTGGGCTGCGAAGCTGCCCACAGCTTCTGCAACACCAATTCGATCCCCGGGCCCCCAGCGAGAGTCCCACATGGTGCGCAGACCTCTCCTGCTGGGGCCCACTGCTCCCCTCAGCAGTGTATTTCAGTCAGTCTGTCTGTTCTACTCCCTACTCTGGCTCTGGTGAATCTTCTCACCCTCCCGTGCTTCTGACTGTACCCAGTGCTTGTATAAATAAATAAATAAATAAATAAATAAATAAATAAATCTTTAAAAAAAAAAGAAAGGGTAGAAACATTTTTTTAATGTTCTCTAAAGAGTATTGTGAAAAGCATAATTTTTATCTTGTCATTATCTAAATATTTTCAACTATCTCAGATGATTGCATTTAAGTTAATTAAAAGTTGTTTTCCCCTAAACTCTTAAATTAAGGATAAGTATCCCTATGAAGACATTTATCAACATTTTTCCTATTCTTAATAGGTGCATTTAAGATTACTTTGTTTTTAGAGTATAAGGTAGGTCTTTTTTAAAATTGCTCCCTTCTTTTAGGAAACTGTGAAGAAAATTAAAACATGAAATAAAATGACCTTATCATGTTCTTTTGTACCCGAACTTTTGTGTTTTTTAAACTGAGGGTGTGACACCTACTGTGATATAAAAATCATCTTTAAAGGGATGTATAAACCCCTATTTTTATGCATTATTCACGAAACTGCAATTTCAGACAATAATTTACAAGGTTCCCTTTGTTTCTAAGTTTCTTCGTATCCTAATCAAACTTAGGTAATTGCTGGTTTCTCCTGGGAAGTTTCCTTTTACAAATCTTCTCTGGGAAAGAGTTTTATTTTTTCATACTGTGCCAGCTACTTGAGAAACTGCTGAGAGCAAAACAACCTTTGCACTTTTTTTAATGACCAAAAATGTAATCACTCTTCCACAAACCTTTATTCCCTTCTCCCATTTTGAAGTTTCTTAAAGCTAGTCCTCACAACAAGAGATTTGTACCCTATGTGTGAATCATCTACTTTTCCCAGCATCGTTTACTTCTGCCTTTTCCCAAATCAGCTCTTTGCCAAGCCAGTGACTCGGGGCCAGGCTTGGTTTCTGTCGGTACAGTTGAGATGGCTCTTCAGAAGTCATGTCAGATGACCTAGAGCAAGTTCCTCAGAAGTCAGGGAGAGTCAGACACCATAATGAGACCCACTGTGCAGTATGACTGGCTTACTACTTTAAAAAAAAAAAATAGAGGAGGTCATTTCTGGAAAAAATAGCTGGGACTTTAGTTGTTTTAACATCTTTATTCATAAGAATCATATAGGCTTCTATTAGGATAGATGTAGATGTACTCCTCTCTAAAATAAAATGCTCCTATAATTGGAATGAAAGTTTAATTCTATTTTTGAGGGCTTAACACACATTTATTATTTGAGAGGTCACTGCAGATTACAATTTAAATGGTTAAATTACCAACTAAGTTATTTGGCATATTGATTTTTTTTATTCAAATGGAAGAATAATCCAGTTACTATATGTGCATATTTTCATTTTTGTTCTTAATGATTAGTGGCTATTACAATATTGTCGATGTAATCATTGCTTTTCTACAAAGTTCAGCAGAAAATTTAAGCTCATTATCTGTGGAAGGTCTGCTGAAAGCTTTGTCTATAGTCGTCATTTGACCTGCAGTGAAGGTATTAGAATCTTCATTGTGTGAATGAGGGTACAAAACTCCAAAAAGTTAAACCACATTACCAAAGGGCAACTGTGTGATAAGACACACACTAGGAATAAAAACCAAGTTTACCCCAGGTTCCTCCATCAGCTCCCTCACCAGACCTTTTGTACCCATTGATGTCTTTATGATGATGGGTCATAAATAGAATGGAAAACTTGGCTGAGGGAATTTGGGTGGTGGGGAAGATAGAATGGGAAATTTGCAAAAAGAAAAAAAAGAAAAAAACATGGATGTCTTGTTGAATATTAGAACAGTTCGCTAGAAACCATGGTAAGTCTTGATTTAGTAACAGAAGGGAAGAGGCCAAAAGTCAATTAATGAGGGTAGAAGACCTAAGAGCACACAGCACATGTCAGAGAGGGGGAGTGACTGCAGTGTGTTGGCAGAATAACTAGAATATCAAGACCTTCCCATTTTTCCTCCAACCTGGTAGTGCCCACTGCAATCACGAGGTGTGGATTGAGACAACAGTGGTGCATCAAAACTTCTCAGAGAAGGTCAAAGAGATGCGGAAGCTCATCAGGGGCTTAGTGAGCATTGGAGGATTCTCTTCACACTGGTTCTCTTCTATAACCTAGTGCTGTGCTCTAAAAGTCTGTTCTCCCCCCAAAATTCATAAGTTGAAAACCCAGTGAACCTAATGCTTGGTGAGAATGTTTTCAGAGATGGGGCCTTTGGGAGGTGCTTGAATCATGAAGGTGGAGTCCTTCAGGAATGGGATTCAGCAGGAGGAGATCTCTCTCTCTCTCTCTCTCTCTCTCTCTCTCTCTCTCTCTCTGCAAGGTCTTTGGATTTGGACATACCTTCTCCTCCAGCTTTACATAGCACTGGTCTATCATTGTCTGAAATTTGTCTCTTGCTTTTAATTGAGTATCTGGGTGCTAATTCTCTATGGGACAGCTTCAAGAGAGAACACAGAATCATTCTTGGTCACAGAAAGACACTTTTGACCAAAACAGTCAATGAAACGTTCTTACTCCGGAAGAATGCCTCACTGAGTGACTCCTAGCATGTTTCCATACATGCCCATGCCATGTTGTCTTCTCCATGTGTGCCATTCTTTGGCACAGCCATCTCTCAATCACCAAACTACTCCATTAACTATCTTAGCCTCATGTTAACCAACCTGCCGCTGCTCTAAGACCAGTTTGTTTAGTAAACAGAAAATTATTTTATATCCTTTGATTATGTTACTTCCTATTCTAAAACCCTGGTTTCTCTCAGTTACCTATTTATCAAGTTTAAGTTCCAGAGTCTAACAGTTAAAACCACTTCTCAACTGGGATCTTCACACTTGTCTAAAGTCATATCCATCACTTTTCTCCTGTTGTATACACACCTGGCTCTCCAGAGTTTATGTGTTCCCTCTCAACTTAACAATTCCTTTCTCACAAGTTCCAGGGACTCCTTTGAGGCCTCTTTCAAGAGTTAATTTCCCCCCCAAAAGAAAAGCTTTTTTGAACAAAATCCACAAGTTTTATTTATTTGAGTTTTTGCAAGAAATTTCTTCTCAATTCAGTATATACCATGTATATTTATAGGTAGCATTGATGTTTTATTTGCTTTATTTAAGTATTTGTAGGGTTCTCAAATTATATAATAAATTCATTCAAAATGTTTTAATGTAAAGAACAGAGGCTCTCAATTGTTGGAAGGGATAAATAAACAAGCAATGCTACACCAAGTCTCGTTGGGCATCCTTGGAGTGCGCTGTGAGAATATTGACTGAGGTGGAAAATCCCAGAGGAGATTTTAGACCATTTTGTAGCATTATCACAGTTCTAGGGACTGATTAACTTCCTGAAGAAGAGTGGAGTTATTTACCAACCCAGGAAGCCCTTCATGCAAATAGTAATTTTATTCAACAACTCAGAATGGAAAGCTATTGTCAGTTCTTAAATGTCCATAATAGAGTGACATCTAAATAGACATGTAGAAAACACAATCAAGAGGAAAATAACAGCTTTTCCTTCAGAAGGTAAAGCAGATCCATTAACAGCAGGAAGCACCATGAGAAACTCAAAATTCTACTCATAGTCTCTCCCATTTGAAGACTTTTCTTATCCCTGTCTCTCTTTACTCAGAATTTATATTCTTTGTACTCAGAGTTCCTGTGGCTATGAATGTCTAGTCATGTACTCATTTTAGTATCTCAGAACATAGAGACACTGATTTAGGTTAAGGTAAATTAATTCTGTGTCCAGCAGATTATAAGCAATTTGAAGGCAAGAATCATGTTTTACTCTGAAACTCTAGTAAAATGCCAAGGACTAGTGATATTTGAAGAATTCAATAGTGCTGAAGGGCTCTTATGCCTATAAAGAAATGCCACTCATCTGCCTCTTTTACAAGCCCTCATAGCCACATCTTCAGATGTAGGAAGACATGGCAGCATGGATGGGGATTAATAGGGTGACTAGCATCCTTCTGTTGAGGAGAGGGCTTTTACCCATGGAGAAACGAAGGAGAAAACAAAGTCAGAAACATAGGAAAAAAAAAAAACAGGAAAGATCGAGTTGTTTCTATTTGGTTATCTTTGAAAATGATGAGAATTATAAGAACTGGACATAAACTCTATGTTAATCATGGTAGGGAGTAACCAAGGCCTAATTAGCTTTAAAGTCTTTAAATCCAGGCAGCTCAATTGCTTTTAAAATATACTTTTGTTTATAA